AGCTCCCAAAGTGTTCTAAATTATTTCCTAACACGGGGGCATTGAGAGAAAGAGATTCTTACCCCCATTTCACAGGGGACAAACGGAGGCTTGGGGAGATTTAAAGATCATACTCAAGAGGTTATTTGGGGACAAAGCTTACTCAGGATGTGGAGGGGGGTGCTGAGAAGCAGGGACTGGAGCCTGGAAAGGTAGGGCAGGCTGAGACCTGGGGGTATGAGTGGAATGTGTATGTGGTAGTGGTGCCTGGGCCATGGAATGAAGTGGAAGAAACAGCCAAGAGCTGGGCACTGAGGGAACAAGCTGGGGGGCCCTGGGCGTGGGTTCCCTGGATCCAGGGAGTGTGAGGATGGCTTTCCCTGGTTCCTGAGGCATGGACTGAGTCCCAACTGCATCTGAGCTCTGCTCTGCTAGCTTTGTGGTGTCTGGATAGGGAAAGTTATTGTTAGAAAGTTGCCGTCAGCAGGCGTCCTTCCAGCTTTCCATGGAAATTCTGGGAGCCGCTCCTAGTTTGCGGCCGGGCCTTCCTTCCTTCTCCCCAATGGACACAGGACCTTGACGGCCAGCGGGCTCCAAGGCCCAGGCCTTTTGCCAACAGCAACAGACTACTGGCTGGGCCCAGGCAAGGGGGCCTTGGCAGGAAAAGTTCCTTGTTGTACCTCCACTACACACAGAGGCCAGTGAGGGGGGTACCAGACAGGACTCCTTCCTCCCAGGTGAAGTGCCCCTACAGCCCCCGAGTGTCCACCCCATGGATGTTTCCTTTACAGAAGTACAATGCTGATTATGACCTGTCAGCTCGGCAAGGGGCAGACACCCTGGCCTTCATGTCTCTCCTGGAGGAGAAGCTGCTGCCGGTGCTGGTGAGTGTGCCCAGACCTCCCAGCATCCATGGCCAGCAGCGGAGGGGTTGGGTACACACACATGCACACACTGGCTCAGGGAAGCATGGGGTCAGGAGCCCACCTTGAATCAGACAGGTGCACTGGCTCAGACCGGCCTGTTTCTTCATGCCTACCCAATCCAAGTACATACTTTTTGGATAGACACCAAGAACTACGTGGAAGTGACCCGGAAGTGGTATGCAGAGGCTATGCCCTTTCCCCTCAACTTCTTCCTGCCTGGCCGCATGCAGCGGCAGTACATGGAACGGCTGCAGCTGCTGAGTGGGGAGCACAGGCCTGAGGACGAGGAAGAGTTGGAGAAGGAGGTAACTCTGAGACAGGGGGCTATTGTATGAGATGAGCCCTAACGATGATGGCCAGGAAAGGGAGTGCCTGGAGGGGAGGTGGCACTGTCCCCGCAGCTGCAAGCCTACCTGTGTCGTCCCTACAGCTCTACTGAGAGGCTCGGGAGTGTCTGACCCTGCTCTCTCAGCGCCTGGGATCTCAGAAGTTCTTCGGAGATGCGTGAGTCTGACTCCAAATGGGTCGATGGATGGCTTGGAAGAAGATACCCGTTCAGATGGAGCAGCTGGGGCTGGAGATGGGGCTCTGGATAGGAGGTCCTTGGGACAGATACTGGCCCTGGTGACAGTGGGGCAGTGTGTGGGGCCGGAGCCTTCTCAGAGGTACAAAAGGGTACAGTGGAGGGCAGCCAGGCATAGGAGGGGCCTGTGGGGCTGTGGGGCACTCAATGTGCCCTTTATGCAGCCCTGGGATAGAGTCCTATTCAGGGCCACGCTGGCGCCACCTGGGAACTCTCCCCATACCAGGTCTAGAACTGTGTGTCCTGTCCTTCCCTGGTGGCCGCCTGCTGCCCAGAGCCCACCTCCCGGGGCTGACTCTTCCTCCAGCTCCATCTTCACCCCTCTGCTCCAGTGGTTCTCCTCCATCTCACCCTTCTCTCTCTGCCCAGCCCTGCCTCCTTGGACGCCTTTGTCTTTAGCTACTTGGCCCTGCTCCTGCAGGCCAAGCTGCCCAGTGGGAAGCTGCAGGCCCACCTGCGGGGGCTGCACAACCTCTGTGCCTACTGTACCCACATCCTCAGTCTCTACTTCCCCTGGGATGGAGGTAAGGGGGCAGATGGGCAGGGGCAGCCCTGGGGAGAGTGGGCAGGGATCCAGGAACAAGTTCCCCAACCCACCTTCCTTCCTTGACCCTCAGCTGAGGTACCACCCCCACGCCAGACACCAGCAGGCCCAGAGACTGAGGAAGAGCCGTACGGGCGCCAGAACCAGATCCTATGTGTGCTGGCAGGGCTGGCAGCCATGGTGGGCTATGCCTTGCTCAGCAGCATAGTCTCCATCCGGCGGGCAACACCTGCTACGGCCCCAGGCACCCGGGCCCTGGGCATGGCTGAGGAGGATGAAGAGGAATGATTGGTTCTCATGCTCCCAAAACTGGTTTTTCTACTCACGCATTCCAGAGGCCCCTGAGCCTCCTCATTGTTGGTACAGCCAGAAACGGGGTGCTGCCCCCAGAATAAAGCCACTCACACTACTGAGCTCAAACATTTTCTCCTTTAAGGCTGCCATTTTTCCTGGCTGGTGCCACGGGGGCCATCTGGGTCCTGAACCTACCCACTGGTGCTGTAGGGCTTCCGCCCTGAGGCTGACAGTGCTGCCCCACAGCCCAGTTCTGCATCTCCAGGAAACACACACAGTCCTGTTTTGGGTCCAGCTCTCCTAGCCTCCCCTTTCCTTACCCTCACCCCCATCCTGTGCCTGTACAGACAGTGAGCTCACCCCAGGCCTGGGCCCAGGCCCAGTTTCCACAACAGGCAGCACACAGCGCACGCTTGCATCAGCATGGGGCTCGGGGGACACTGGGGCTTTCTGATCTTGTTCTAGGGGCCTCCAGCCCCTGGCACCACCTAGAGGGGAAAGTGAGTCACCCAAACCACTACTCCTGGGCTTACGTCACTGTAAGCTCACCCTGGCCCCGCTGTGCCTCTAGCCACAGACAGTGTGTGCACTGACTCTGTCCCTTTAATGCCCAGGCTGAGCCCAGTGCCTCCTTGGGTATCTGCTCCATCACTGGCGACGCCACAGGTAGGTGTGAATGGAGTAGCCAGGTGAGATCGTCTCCAGGAAGCCCACAGCAGGATCCTCGATGGTAAGACGCACATCCTTAGAGGAACTAGGAGCGGGGAGAAGCTGAGAGTGTGATCCTGCCAAGGCCCCCACCCTGTCTTCAGCCACTTCCCAGACCCCGCCTTGCCCTCACCGGTTCAGCACGACCACAACGGCAGAGCCGTCAGGATGCATCAGTGCCACTGTGTCCAGGTCGTTCTTCTCACTGGCAACCAGCCCCACTCTCTGGGAGCCCTCAGGAATGAACTTGCTGAATGTGGGAACAGACATGGTCAGGGACTCTGGCCCTCGGGGTACCTCCCATGAGACCCTCATCTAAGAAGTCACCCACCCACCTACCCACCCCATGTGTCGTACAGAAGCTCTGCCCTGGCTCTCTAGGCCCAGAGCCATGCTGCTGGCCACTGACCCTGCCTTTCCGCATCGCAGCCCCAGCCTCAGGCATTGGGGTTGTCTGTTGCTACCTACTCACTTCCTGCCTCCATGGTGCAAGAAGGGATGGGTGGCCTCTCCCAAGGTTCCCACCCTAAACACCTTCCTGCTCCCGCACGGTGTAGAGTGATGTAAGCCATCCCATGCAGGAGATGATAGGCCTGGTATGGAATGGAGGTGCCCGCCCTCCACTCACCTGAAGTGGCCAAGGTGGTAGAACATGGGCTGTTTGTAAAACGTGTCCTTGGTGATGTCTACAATGATGGGGCTGTCGACAAAGTTACGCACCCAGTTGGGTCCTCCTTCGGGGTTCAGGGCGAGGTTCCAGTCAGTCCAGCCAACAACGTGGTACAGGAGGTTCTAGACAAAGAGACAAAGGCTCAACACTGGGGGTCCCCCGAGAGGGAAGGTAAGGGTCACATGAGGGAGAGGGGGCTGTGGGTAGCTCAGCCCTGTGAGGAGCGCACTGTCTTCTTAATAGCTAAGGAGGGGGGTCACGAAGACTGAAGCATCTCAAGGGGAGCTGAGGCAGGTGCAAGTGCCTCAGTAGTTGCAAAGGGGTGGTGAGGTGTGCAGACCTGTGAGGGAAAGGCAAGACAGAACATCATGGTTCCCCAGAATTGCCCAAAAGGACAGGCTAGCTGGGGAGAAGCTGGAGAGGAAGGTCTTCTGTCCGTCTTTGGTGAGACTAGGAAGGGGTCTGAGGTCTGCTCTGCAGGAAGCGGGACTGGGGTGGCTTACCGTGATGATGCTGTGGCTGTACTGCATCCCTCGATCCCAGGAGCCTAGCCGCACACTCTGCTCCCAGAACTTGGAGCCCACACAGGCCGCTGAGGCAAAGAGCATGGTGTTGGGGAACAGGCGGTGTGTCTCCCCTAGGGTGGCTTTGGCTGGAGCCAGAAAGTCCAGGTACCAACGTACAGCAATGCCATCAACATGCTGAGCTGCCTCTGGGTCTGTCAGTACCTGCAAAGGAAGAGCCACTGACCCTGGACCCTGCACACAGCTTTCTGGACCTTCTAGTTCCTCTTCTAGGAGTCCTGAAGAGGAGTGGTGGGAAGAATGCAACTACAGAGGTTATGGGAGGGATGTCTTTTGTTTTTGAGACAGGACTCACTCTGTGTCTTAGGCTGGAGTACAGTGGTGCAGTCACAGCTCACTGCAGCCTCGGCTTCCTAGGCTCAATCAGTCCTCCCGCCTTAGCCTCTTGAGTAGCTGGGACCACAAGGGTGCCACACCCAGCATGTGTGTGTGTGTGTGTGTGTGTGTGTGTGTGTGTGTGTTTTTTTAAGAGATAGGGTTTCAGCATGTTTCCCAAGCTGGTCTTGACCTCCTTGGGTTCAAGTGATCTGCCCTCCTTGGCCTCCCAAAGTGCTGGGATTACAGATGTGAGCCACCACCCCCGTCCTAGAGAGGTTTAAAGTGACAACTGTGGGGATCCGTGGGGCCCTGGAGGTCCAGAGAGATGGTGCTCTAGGAGTCCATAATTGAGCTGAGAAATCTCCCTAAGTTTGGGAGCCAGTCATTTGGATGCTAGATTTGGAGGTCACTGGGGCACCATGGGGTCCGGGCCTTACCACCTGTGCCCAGTGGGGCAGCAGCAAGCGTTGGTCATCCAGCATAAGTAGACGGACATTGCGGTGAGTACTGTTGGCGAGGGTAGGACCTAGGTCACGGGCAATGAAGTCTCGCTGATGTTCGGGTGTGAAGCCCAGGCACTGGAAGGGGTATCCACTCAACAGCCCAGCAGAAGGCTCATTTTCAGCTGTCACTGCCCAGAACTGTAACTTGTGCTCAGCATAGGCATCCAGAAACCTGGCACGAGGAAGGTCATGAATGATTCGGCCAAGAAGGTGGACCAGGTCGGCTGGGCATGGTGGCTCACACCTGTACTCCCAGCACTTTGGAAGGCCAAGGCAGGTGGATCACTTGAGGTCAGGAGTTCGAGAACAGCCTGACCAACCTGGCAAAACCCCATCTTTCCCAAAAACACAAAAATTAGTTGGTCATGGTAGTGGGCACCTATAAAACCAACTACTTGGGAGGCTGAGGCAGGAGAATCACTTGAACTCAGGAGGCTGAGGTTGCAGTGAGCCAAGATAGCACCACTGCACTCCAGCCTGGGTGATGGAGTGACAGAGTGAGACTCCTTCTCAAAAAAAAAACGCACGTATACCAGACACCTAGAGAACAGGAAGAAGCCTGGTGGAGTTGGCAAGACTGACAGGCCCAAGTCTGCAAGCCCAAGCAGGTAGAAAGGTGAGCTGAGGAGAGGCAGATCTGGAAGTAAAACCAGGTTGAGGGTTGGGACACAGATCAGGGTGGCCAAAGGGGAGGCCACTTCTGACCCCTCAGCCTTGCCGATCCCTTACTTCACAAAGTATCTGGCCCAGGTCTGGTGGTAGATGTCTCCGGGCTGACCCTTGAGTGACCCCTTCCCATTCACTGCTCCATTGGTCTTGAGCCAAGTGGGTGATGTCCAGGGGCTGGCAAAGAGTGAGATGGGACGCTGGGACAACTGCAGGGCTCGGTGAATCAAGGGTATCTACGGCCAAAGGTAGTGAAGAGAGAAGCACCCAGAGTTGGAATACATACGTGCCCAACCACTATATCAGGTTCAGCCATCAGCCCCCACCCTCCCACCCTGGGACAAAATACCTGGGGACAAAATATCTCTACGGGCAGGCCTCCTCTTCAGCTTCTCAAACTCTAGACATCAAGGCCATCAGGGCCAGAGGAAGCCAGAAAGCTCACCTTGAGCCTGGTATCTTCCTCTGGGAGGCTGAAGTTGTACAACTGAAAATCGTCAGGGGTGTCTGCATAGGTGTAGATGCGGATGGAGAAGTCACAGCTGGCCATGGGTACCCGGATGATGTTATATTCGATTCCTAGAGAAAAAGATGACCAAGATATGGTAGTCTGAGTCAATAGGAGAGTATGGGACTCTGCTTATCACTTGCCAGTGCTAATAGTCCCTGAGACCAAAGGGAACTTGGGCTTGAGGCTTGGAACCTGTGGAGGCCAGCACCCAGGTGAGGCACAGGCCTTTCTGAGCCTGAGTCCATAAGCACTTAACAGATTATTGGTGGGGAAAACTTATTTCATTGGGCATTAATATGGGAACCAAATGTCAGGGATGGGCTGAAGTCAGGGTCCAAAGAAAGGTCAAAGAAAAGTGTGGGCCGGGTCCAGTGGCTCTCACCTGTAATCCCAGCACTTTGAGAGGCCGAGGTGGATAGATCACAAGGTCAGGAGTTCGATATCAGCCTGGCCACCATCTCTATGAAAAATACAAAAAATTAGCCAGGCATGGTGGCGAGTACCTGTAAGGCCAGTTACTCAAGAGGCTGACGCAGGAGAATTGTTTGACCTCGGGAGGCAGAAGTTGCAGTCAGCCAAGATCACGCCATTGCATTCTAGCCTGAGTAACACTGTGAGACTCCATCTCACCCCAACACACACAAAAAAGAGAGAAGTGTTGGCTGGGCTTGGTGGCTCACACCTGTTATCCCAGCACTTTGAGAGGCTGAGGTGGATGGATCATTTGAGGTCAGGAGTTCAAGCCTAGCCTGGCCAACACAGTGAAACCCTATTTCTACTAAAAACACAAAAATTAGCCAGGTAGTAGAGGTGTGCGCCTGTAATCCCAGCTACTCGGGAGGCTGAGGCAGGAGAATCGCCATAGCCTGGGAGACACAGGTTGCTGTGAGCTTAGATCATGCCACTGCACTTCAGTCTGGACATCAGAGTGAGATTCTGTGTCAAAAAAGAAAAAAAAAATGTCATTGGTACTATGTCACCTCATCCCCTTCCTCCTCACCTTCTTCAGAGAAGTATGATTTAAGTAGCAAATTCTGGGCAGGGAGTGACAGGGCAAGGATGTTGAGAGCAGCAGCATCTGTCATGGCCCCTCCAAATCCCTTTATTTTCTGGAACTTCTGTTCTGGCTGCAGGGTCAGTAGCAGACCTGAGAA